ATACAGCCCACAGCTTTGTGCCGGAACAAAAAACCCCCAAATCTGTCACAGTGAATGGCTCACTTTGGTAAACTATTTCTCACCAGAGCATGAAGATGTGTCCAAGGCCAATCATACTGCATGACCAACACAGGATATACATTTGTAATGGTATTTGGCATGTGACATTTTACAGGCTAAGCAATAAATTGTTAAAAAGGCTATAAATTATTCTAAGGATGAATAAACCTGAGTTGCAGCCATAGCGAGGCTTCATCGTCTTCAATCCTTCCAACAGAAGTTCAGTCTGGACAATGTTGACCCTCCAACATTGTCATCCCTGAGTGATTAATTAAAATATCTGACTTTTGTCCTTATAAATGTGCATGCAGTGTATTGAGATATCTCAGGGTTAAAATCTGCCTCCAGCCGAGGCTTTCTACTGCTAGTCGGGGAAAAAGAATGTCGAGAGATTTCCCTGGAGTCCCCGTGGTTATGCATTAAAGTTGTATGGCAGAGATGGAAGATCCCAGCTTCAGACCTGAAAACACTATTCTGATCAGCTGGTTTTCAGCACTTGAGAACTCACCATCAGTCACAACGGGCATGTTAGCTATTCTGTTGTTGAGTCTGCCGAATGACAAACAAAACAAAGGTTTGGTCACAGTGATGCTTGGAGACTTGGCATCTCTCGACCTGCACTGTTTTCCTTGCTATTGCTTTGAGTCATTAGTGTGATGAATTTATCCGGCATCACACATCTTTCCCAGTCAATTTAGCTTGCTGAGTTTTTGTATGTGTTTCGAGTATTTTCAACCGCTCTACCTCTCGACGTGCACACACTTTCTTGGCAGCTATGCACAGTTTTAGAGTTACTCGGTTTGAGAGAAGCCTCATTAAAATCCCCCCACTGTGTGTTTTTTTTTTGTTTTTTGTACCAAGGGCCTGCCAGAGGTTAGGAGCAAGAATGTGATCATGAATGAGGAACTCAACATGAGCATCTTTCCAGACTTCACCCTGGTATTATAAGACAATGGGCACCTGTGCATGTAAAAGGCCCCGCCAGCCTGTACCCATTATGCCCATTCAGTAATGCATCCATGCCTTCACTGCATTCACTGCACATTGCACTCTCAGATTAGAGTAGAGCTCATCACCATTGACACCAAATGAAAAATTCTATTTGAATCAATGTTACTGTATATCGTGAAATGTTGCCTTCAGGGTACATGCAGGACACATCAAATACTTACAGATGCCAAAGAATATCATCATATCTAAACATGTAGCACCTTGCAGCAGGAGAGCCTATTTTAATCTCCACAAAGAACACTGTCACTTTTCTGTTTCAGGAAATAGACAGATCCCGCTCTGATTCCTTGTATACCAGCCTCAACCACACATTCTGGCTGATGCTGAGTGCTGTTAGTTTGCGCCTTTGGGACCGTGTTATGCAACAGTGTTAAGCTATAATAGCAGCAGTTTGCATGTTGATTGACAGTGATTTCTGTGTTGGTTTCATGAATTGTGTGTGAACGTTGGTAAATAATAGGTTGGATATAATTCTGCTCACCTGTCACAGACAATTACGCAGGATTATGTTATTGTGATGATTTTAGTGAAGAAAATGAACGCCAGAGTCTTTAAAGTAATTCAGGTGCCACTTTGACTTTACGAATGGATCTGTTTTTTCTTTTTTCTTTGGTCGCTGATGTAACTGTTTGAAATCTGTCATTCATATGGAGACAGATTTAAATAGAAAATAATTTCCATAATCAGCCACTGTTACGGTTTCAAATCTTAAATTGACTGACTGACAGTTCTCACTTGCAACTCAAACCAATGCCTTTGAATTGTATTGAGACACTGAGTCACAGCATTGATTAACACAATGCTGTCTTTGTTTACTGGCATTGAGGCACATTCAAATATTTTGGTAAAGGGTCAATTAAGAAAAGAAAAGTATGTCATATGTCTATTGAAAGGACATGTAGACCATATGGTTAATTCATTGAACTAGGTGTTAAGGTATGGCGTTTCATGAATTATTCATCTCTTAAACATTGGTCTGTGCTGCTTTCATTCATCATGATTCATTCAGAATCAGCATGCTTATGTCTTCAAGTGGCCTCAATCCTCTTTCAACACTTTGCAGGTCTTTGGAGGACTTCGTATTTTCAGAGTGAGAGGACAATTCCGATTAACAAACTGCTGAAAGATCCGTTGCGCACCATGAAATTACGGGATTAGAGATAACTCCGATGTAGCCTACTCACGTGTCCCGTCGAAACGAGTGGCGATGGTATCCAAGAAGGTGTTTTGGGGCGCGATCAGACCCCTCATCACCGGCATCCGAGAGCGGGTCGAGCCGCGTCTCTCTCGCCGCTCGGAGCCTTGGCTCTCGGCGGCGGGGGTCACAAAGCCCGGCAGGAACCTGGGCGATGTCCCCGGCGCTCCTCCTAACCCCTGGAGGAGGGCGCCGAGCCGAGACACCCGGGACTCCACGGTCCAAAACTGACCACAGACCACCGCGCAGGTGATCCCGGCTAAGAGGAGGAGAGAGGAGCCGCTGCAGGCTGGAGGGGAGAGGACGGAGGGATGGAGGGGCGACGGTGAGGATGGTCACATTTACGCACGGGTGTACTGCAAAGCAATTCCCCTCTCCCCTCTCCCCCTCCCCTTCCCATTCGCTTTCTCTCTTCCTCGCTTACACATACACATTTCTCTCTCTTTTCTTTTTTCTATTTCCAATGTGCACCCACCTCTCTCTCTCTCTCTCTCTCTCTCTCTCTCTCTTGAAAATGTATCAGTCTCTCTTTACCTCTCATCTATTGATGTTGGGATGCATGCCTGTTTTAAACGAAGGTGTTATACTGTCTTTATTTTGGGTATTTTTTACACTGTACCATGTCACACTTTAAGCTGCAAAATGTGTCGCCCCATGAATATATTGAATAATTTAGTCAGGGTAGACAAAATATTCAAACGTTTCTCTTTGTGGAATTATTATGATGAAAGGTGTGATCCGTTCATTCATTCATATCATATTCCACGTGTGAATTATTCCCAAACCGCATCTGCCTGTGCATTTGTGAGTATTTCACATGTCATTAACATTCTTCATGGGAGGAATTCACATGTGCTTTTTTTGGAACAGCCCTCTGGCAGTAAGACTGGAGACCTATGGATGGATGGATGAATGCATGCATGGATGAATGCATGGAAGGATGAATGCATGTATGCATGGATGGATTAAAGGATGGATGGATGGATGATGGATGGTTGAATGGATGGACTTAAATAAAGATGATGCACCCCCACCAATCAATAGATGTGTGGTGTCTTGCGTAGGTTTATAATGTAGCTATTTGTTTACTATTCCTTAATTTCCCTCACCCCTGTAAATAGAAAACCTGTACCATTTGTAAAAGCACATCTGAATATAAATGATTGCAAGGATGCTGCTGGAGACAAATGATGCGATGAAGCTGAGCCCATAAGTTTCCCCATGGGGACAATCAAGCATATCTCATTTGATCGAATCTCAAAGCGTCCCTGCAGTTCTGTTGGTTACAGGTAATCTGTTTTGCTCGGCTCTGCTCATGTTTCCTACTGTCATTACATTTAACACAAGCTGTTTTATCCTTCTGCAACCTTCAAAAGATCCATGTGCACTTGGCAGCTGGATGTGTTAAGTCTTAGCTGTCAAGAAAATGTAAATGAAATGCATTAAAATATATGAAAATGGTGAAATGTTAACACTAAACTCACACGGGCGGACCTCTGTTGCACCTCAAACCTTCAGGAGTTATTCAAGCACAACAATTGGTTAGAAAAACACTAAATCTGTCTCCAAACACAAATCCTGAAGCACTTTTTCTGAAGGTGGAGACATTTTCACACTCAGGTGCACGGTGGCCTCAGGGTTCATTCCCAGTGGTCCTCTTCTTCACTACAATTCAAAGGGAAACTGTACTTTGTTGTTCTTTGCAGGTAAAGTTGGCAGTTTGTAGCTTATTTATCAGTCAGTAAGTAAGAAAACAAAGCAGTTCTGAAGCTTGTGTAGCTTGTTGTAAGTTGGTCCTATTCACTGACACATGGAATAGAAACCTTGAGGAGTATTAGAGAGAGGATACTGCCATCTACAGGGCATGCAGCTCAAGTGAAGAGACATTTAAAGTATGTTATGGGCCAATCATCTAAAATGATATTCCTTTGACTGACTCTGACACCTCCAGCCAAAACAAACCCACAAGCGTAGAATTGAGATTCGCAAATGCCTTTGTCGATTCACAAATTTAAAACAAACAATCACAAATGCCTGCTCCAAAGTTGTAAATATTAGGAATGCTTTTACTTTATTTGAAAATGTATAATTAATTAGACGTTTATGTTTACAGATTACAGATTTACTCATGGATTGTCGATCATTCACAAAAATAGTATTGACAAAAAACCTTTTGCAGTTCATGCATAAGACCAGCAGACGTCAGTGCAGGATTAGTCACAGATTCAGCATCTTTATAGTGACGCAATGAAGTCTCAATGAAGAGCAAAGTGTTCATTTTAGTGTGACTAGTCTTTACATATTTTCTTTTGATGTACTGTATACTTTCACAAAATATTTTTTACTTTTTTTCCCAGTTCAAACTTTATCTTCTTCCTTTTCTAATAATAATAATAATCAAAATAATAAATGTTATTCGCTGAATTCAAACATTTCAGACTGCAATGGGGCAAATTAAATCAGACAATTGAATATAAAACAAAAATAATAATACAATAATAAATAAATGAAACAGGGAGCTAGCATTAATAACCTTAATTATTGTCACAATAACCCACACCATTAACTGTACTATTTATCAATTCATACAACAGACAACAATGTTATTACCAATTAAAACGACCATATTCCCGACAGCCTTGTGTCTTCATTGATACGTATCACCACAGAAGAAGAAGCCACAGAAAGCTGCATTACGGTCAATTGAACCTGCCATTCATTGGCTGAGCATCTGGCGCGCGTCTCCGCCTCTCTCATCATTCCGATCGCTCGCTCCCGCTTGCGGATGCGCGCTGTCCCCGCTCCGTATCTTCCTCCGTCGCGGAAAAACACGGAAGATTAACCACAACCCCCAACAATGGGAGGATTTAACGCGTAAGCAGCCGCTGCTCCGTTGCACTTCAAGTCAAACCGTACGCGTTTGGGGTTTATTTCCCCCCACCGTGAAAATGGCGACGGGTGCAGGCTGGCAGCCTCCGTGCAACACCAAATACAACATTACCCCGTCTCCAGCGTCCGGCATGTTCTACGACGGGAGTTTGACGCTGGAATACACCCAGGACCTGCACCTGAAGATGAGCAAGAAGATCGCGCAGCTGACCAAGGTCTGTAGGTGTGATGTGCACGATGCGGGACGTGGTGCCCAAAAGTCACGCAGAGCAGCCTGGGATGCGGGATGGAGTAGTACGGCGGAGGCTCGTGCATGAGATGTAATTTGTAAACATGCAGATGGGGAAGAATGTGGTGCTATTTCATGCCTTTTACATGTTTGGTGCAGGTCCGCAGGTGTGATGGTGATGTTTATTGTATTTTGGAGCAGGTTTGAGGATATTTCACTGCATCCCTGCAGGGTTCATAGGTCACCGTTAAAATAAGGTTTGTTTTTCTAATAGGTGTTATAATGCATAGTTTAGAGTAAGTGGATGTGATGCATGCCAAGAAAGAGTTTTCCTGTGATTACTTACTACAGTGTGCAGGCTGCTAGTATTCTGTACTCTGCTTTTACTCTGCCTGCAGAAAACAGACTGTATTTCATGAGGAATTACACTGATACAGCTGAGAGTTTTCCCCAGATGTTTTGCCGTAATTGTACCCTCTACCCCGCCACTGTTTAACCCGTGCATGCTTCCTGCCATCACGGGGCGTCCATTGCTGCTCAAGGGGCCGGGGAAGTTATGTAATCTTGGAGGGATGCAGAGGTCTGGCTGCTTCTTTGTACTCCACCTGAAGCCAGTGTAGGAAACAGGGACGACCGTGTCGCGCTGTAGTGGAAGATTTAAGGTGGCAGATACAGTTTACAGCATCTACGGGCTTTTTGACCTGGTGGATAAAATGTAGATAAAACAGATTATGTGACAGCGCTTCTATAGGGGGAGACAAAAGCAGAGAGGTCAGAAGATTTTACATAACAGGCACGGTGATACGATCACAGAATCAGACACTGTGTAGCTGAGCGAATACACACAACAGATAGATTGAAATTGTGGCTATCCAGGAGGATTGTCAGGCCGCGGTTTATTAAAATAGTTTGTAGTGGTGGAGAGATTGACCGCAAACGACAGATTTAACACACGGAGAATGTCTTTTTGACACGACTAGGTTCAGCACTCTTCTGTGTTTCCATTGATTTCCTGCTCCTCAAACCAGAGAAATGCAGCTTAGATACCTGACAACCTGTCCAGGGTATTTGGGGCCTACTATCAATCTTTTACTGCACAGACTAACTCGTCAAACTCAATTGAAACTCAACCGATAAGGCAAATAATTGTTGGTATGATCGGACGTAGCTGATAGGTGCAGCCTGGCTGAAGAAGAAGAGAATATAGTTAAAAATGAAGAGCACTTCTCTGCGTGGTGTTTCCAGAGTGTTTGCTTTTTAAAAATTGAAGGTGTTATGGCAGATTAATGTGTTTTTTGCTTGTGTGGGGGTATCTGCTGACTAGTGTTGCTCTTCTGTGGAAACATTTTCAGATGCTGCTCGTGTGTTTCATGTGTTCTACGTTGGGGTTGGTAATTCCTGCATAAACTACATCCTTGTTCTCTTTCAGTATGCTGCCGATGGCTCTAACTCCATGTTTGCAGTGACGTGTGTGTGACTGCAGGTGCTGCATTGTTTCCTCCAATAATCGTCATGCAGCAGCGCTTTGAGCTCTTGCAGGCAGAAAGTAGGACAAAGTTGTAGAACACACGAGCGTCGTCCTTGCTTTGGACATTTTCAAAGGACGCATCCCACATTACCTTGCGATGGTGATGGATTAAACTCAAATGAATGAGCTAAGTTTCAGTTTCAGCTTCACAACGAAGAAGAGGTTTAACCCAAACTACCGACGGAGCGCCTGGCTGTCTGATATCCACACTGAGCTTTTATTTCTCTCCCCCGCCTGTAAGCAACAAAGAGACCTGATGAGGAGAATAAACCCGCGGTCCAGGATCAGGACTGTTATTATCACAGCTCTGATTGAGACTCTGTAGCTGCAAAGAACACGAAACAACACATCCTGGATTTTGCCTTTCATACCATTACATCATGTCTGATGATGGCCCGAAACATATATCATATAATATTGAAACTCCTGATGTCAGAGTCAGAGAGTTGAACCCAGATTCCTGTTGTGTGTATTTGGGAGTGAGTCCTTGGAGCATCGGAGCATCGCAACAGCGACAGGAGGAAACAGATGCAAAGTGCCTTCACGCCACGACTGGGTGGACGATGTAAATGCGCGTTGCCACCTCACGGAGTGTCTGATGAAGGGAAACCGTGGACTAAAAGCCACAAATGTCCGGGGATCCCGTTAAGACTACAGTACCTCTGAGAATAGGACTTTCATTAATCCTTTAATTACTGAATATGATGGTAATCCTCTGGAAGCGAGGAGAACAGGGTTTTTGGTCGCTGCAGTTGTTCTACTTTCGACATCAGTAACCTTTTTATTCTGAAGTTCAATCAATAGTGAAAGCGTCCGTCCTGGGTGCTCCATAGTCTCCATCACTCCTCACTCATCCTCTATCTTTGGCATCTCGATGAGTTTTAAAGCTGACCATTTCAACGTCAACGTTTCGACGTCTTCCAGGTTGTCACTGTTGTTAGGCTGGATAAGCTTCTGAAGAACCACAGGACATTCAAACGTCCCATTAAATCCCGGGATTAAACTCAGACTCAGCTGAGCTCGAGGGCTTTCAAGTCCATCGATCGTATAATAAATATATAATATAATCAATCATGCTTATATCATCATGCAATCATCCCCAAAATCATGCTTATGTAATTTACCTGTCCAAGGATACTTTTTTCAATCAAGAAATTTATTTTCATCTCTGGTCATTTGCTGAATTTCTTTTGCAACAGAATCACTTAAAGACACTGAGAAAAAAAACAACAATTGCATTTATTTATGGAAAGCGAGCTTTAGACACAAATAGTAAATGTGAAGTTCCTTTACTCCTGGGAGAGAGAGAGAGACAGAGGGAGATACGGAACAACAAGGGGGAGAGATGAAAGGATGAAAGCAATAGGGAGAAGAGAGAGAGAGAGATGAAAGTCATTTAAATAATCATGTATAATTGAGGGAACGCTTCCGTGGCTGACTTACTGCTGAGAATCAGAAGGCCAACATCTCAATTCTTCCACTGAGTGGAGGTAAATAACAACTGTCAGGAGGCAGACATGCAACAAATCAATCACGTGGACACACTTTCATGACAGCATCTTCAAATGACATTATAATACCAATATTAATACATTTTATTTATAGAGGGGGGGCTTCAAGGCCTCAGGATGCTACTAAGTGCTTGCCGTCTAAGCAGCTGGCACCTTTATTTCCGACAGCAGATTTAGAGCGGCAGTGAGTTTTCCTAAGCAGACAATCACTCCCACTTGTTCAGGTGTGCGGAGGAGTTTAATCCTCTCGTTCTGTCACAACCGAGGAACGTCTCGGAGGAGACACTCTGAAGTGCTTCCCTCTTTAGTTTCCGTTGGACGACATGTCGCGCAAACTCGCTCCCGTGAAGAATACTGGAAATACTAGAAAGTACTAATTACATGTGTCATCATGCCTTATGGAGGATAATTACCATGCACGTGTCCATTACACACAGTACGTAACTTCTCACCTCATCTTTAAGCGGAACATAATGTGGAGCTTCTAGTTCTGCAGGGCTGTAAATCAGCTGACCGTGACTGAATAGTAGCCGCTTGCAGGGGGGGGGGCTTCAATTTACTGAAGCTTAAGCTGCTGCATATCCTTTACCTGCAGCACATATTACCTCCTTATATCCCTGAGGGAGAGCATGACTGACAAGATGTTATTCACTTAGGCTCGTTTTGTGGAGAGCGCAGCGGCTGGCAGCCTCTCTGGTGACCGTATCCGAGAAGCATTTGAGATTCTAGTTCGTTTCTGTGTTTGTTGCGTGCACACTTATCTCCTTTGCACCAACTTTGTTATCTGAGCTCCCGTCCTCTTTGGTGTGACTTGTGACTGTCTTAAATCAGTGTGCGAAACCTATTTCTCTCCTCTCCTGATGTTATTGGTATGGATTTTGTTGCACTCTGAATGCAGAGCTGAGCTATCGATCTGATATTGAAACAGGTAATAAGAGCTCTATATCACGTCCTCATTCTCATGTCTAATTCCCTTCCTGTCTGCAGGTCATTTATGCGCTCAACACCAAGAACGACGAGCACGAGGAGGAAATTGAGTCCCTGAAAGATGCCCACGAGGACGAGGTAGGAGCACAACGGAGCACCGAACGCCTTCGATTACACAGACACCCTCCCGCTCCAGGAATAACAGATATGTGTTTAAATGTGATCGCATTAGTTTCAATGGAAGAATTTGGTGAAGTGACGTTCTCCTGAAGTGAGGATTCGTCCTCGCCTGTTCAGTGTTTTGGTGACTGGCAGCGCGCTGCGGTGGGAGGAGAGGAGGAAAGTGGCAATCCTGTCACACTGCAATTTTTGGGTGTCCGACCATATTTAAGCTGTCTGCAGGGAGCAGGTCAACGCTATGGGGCGTCCCACATAGACGTCTCCAAAATCGCACAAAAACAGCTCATTCATTCACGTGTTTCTGTTTCACCTTCATTTTGAATTGTTCATCTTAATTGCACAGAGAGAAGACAGTGTCTTCTTAATTAAGATAGAGTAAACATTGATTAGTGCCTCCTAGCTTTATTTATTTCCGTGTTTGTTTTGATATCACATCATATTGAATTCTTGTATTAAATTGTTTCTGCAGCTTTCGGTATGTTGACAGTTGTTTGTTTGTTGTTCTCCTGCTGCTCAGGTCCAACACATTGTGACCGAAACCAGAGACAAGATCATGCAGTACAAGAGTAAGATGGTGGACGAGGCGGACCTGAGGCGGCGGCTGGCCAGTCTGGAAGAATCTGTCGAACTCCACGAACACATGAAGAGACAGGTCGCTCACTGCTGCCGGGCAACACGTTCGGTTGTGCTGACTTTGGTTGCATGAATTAGCAGTTGTGTACTGTGTCGTGCCGTGTGAAGTCATGTAACGCGGCTGTTCTGTTGCTGTCAGGCTTTAGCAGAGTTTGAGATGTACAGACAGAGAATGGAGGATTCACAGCTCTGCACCGAGGCCCAGCACACACAGAGAGTGGTTTCTATGAGCAGAGAGGTAAGGCGTTACACACACACACACACACACACACACACACACACACACACACACATACAAGACTGGAGCACCAGCATCTCAGACCAAAACGAACGGGCGCGCCATCCACACGTCCCCCCCTTTCGCGTTCTCAGTAAGGTGTTACTTACTTACTTACTTATCGCGGCCTCTGAACACAGATAAACAAAGTTTTTGTGAACAATGCCAAGTGACGAGGTAAGTACAAGCAAGAGGATGTACATCTGGGCTATTATTTCATTGATTGGGATATCCATTTTAGTAAAATTAGTCCCATAGTCAGCTTGGTAAGAAGCTATTTCTTCGATCTGTCGAGTGACTTTAAATCCACGTAAAGTAATTACTGTCCTGCTAACGCTAGCGTTACCTCAAACATCCAGTAAAATATGCTTTAGGCAGCTAAAGGTTGATGGTTTCAATTGAACGCGAGCAATCGGCATCATTCTCTGCTCAGGACGCCGTTTCTCCACGATGTCTTGACATAACAAGTAGTTGTCTGCTGCTATATTAATATTCAGAATCTCACATTTAGCTCCTTTAAGTGAGACGAAGCACAAACGTGCAAGCATGCCACCTATTTCCACCAGTTTTATGACTAATACACGCCATAATACGTGCAGTTCCACCAATATATACCACTTTTTTTTATTTAAAAGAATAAAACGTTCATAGATATTTTGACATAATTCTCAAAATCCGGCTTATAGCTAATATTAATGGCCAAAAGCTTGACCGTGGGGGTGTTGCAAGATCCCATCTCCTCCGTTAAGCATCAGCATCTTTTGGTTGTACAATAAGCATAAAGCAGGAATTATATAAAGTTACAACAAAACAAAATATCAATCCTACATGACTACATATCTCATGCCTCATATCATATCATCTACGCCTGCTTTTGTAGAGTCTGAAGGCAGTGGGCATAAATGAACTCCTGCGGTGTGTTTCGATGTGATGAGCCGGTGGCTGAATGATCTCAGTTCATCATCAGTTCATCTATGTTGGGATAGGTGTACGTTAGCGTTGGTGTTGCCACTGCCTTCACACTGTCCACCCCCAGCTTGACCAAAGAGATGCCCTCTTTACCAACCTGAACGCGTCTGCCGCCATCACACCCCATCATCCCATCATCCCATTTTTGTATATTTTTTTCCACCTCATGTCTGTCAGATCTTTTCGCTGTAACCGCAAACCCGCCGTTTCAACGCGTCGGAGGAGCTGCGAGCATTTGTTTTGGCACCGAGGGGAAATAACAAATACGTTTACTGACAGCATAAGGTAATAGAATTAAATATTCTGCACTTTTCCAATTATTACAGAGGGATTTTTCAAGGGATGCTGTGAGCACTTAGCTTGGCACAGGTTGAGACCGAGTTGGCAGCAACACACACACACGATTCAAACGGAATAGTTTATGTTTCGTGGTTTCAATAGGTGGAGGAGATGCGTCGGGATTTTGAGGAGAAGCTGCGGGCGTTCAGCCAGACTCAGGCCCAGTTTGAGGCGGATAAACGGCGAGCGCTGGAGGAGCTGAGGGCCACCCACCGCCACGAGGTGGAGGAACTCCTCAACAACCAGCAGAACCAGAGCGCCACCTCCACCGAAGACCAGGAGAAACTGGCCGAGCTCCATAGACAAGAGGTGGGCTAAGAGCGAGAGAGGAAGGAGGATAGATGTGTTCTGGGAGGATTGAAGCATGTTCTCTTTTGTGGAGAGTTTACACAGCAAGTTACTTGATGGAGTAATTGCTGTTTTGGAGGCTTATTAAGTGTTTTTGGCTTTAGAAATTGAAAAAATTGGTGCAGTTGGTTTATGAATATAATATAAACCTGATGTGGTTATAATCTGGCCACGGGCCGTTGTTGCATGTCATCCCCTTGTTTTATTCCCATTTTTCCTTTCCTCTCAACTGTTAAATATCCAATATAACAGATTTACTAAATATTTCTCGTTTAAAAATAACAGATATGGTAAATGTGCTCAATATATATTGTGCGGTTCTCATTCCAAAGCTTCCTAAATGTGCAGCGGCGGCATCTGAGTCGACATCCTCATTTATCCGTCTCTCTGCGCAGGTGGAGGCACTGATGGAGAGGGTGGAGGAGATAACGAGGGATAAGGTCCGTCTGGTGGAGGAGTACGAGGCCAAGCTGGGCAAAGCTCAGGAGTATTACGAGAGGGAGCTGGAGGCCATGAGGAGAACACACCAGCTCACCACGGAGAACCTGCTGGCCTGGAAAAGGACCGAGGTAAAACAACAACATATCGGTAAACAAATGACACACAAACTAATAAAAGGTGGCATTAATACAGCAGAAGCAAGTTTAATGGCATTTTTTTTGGGTCAGAGGGGGCAGCAAAGGTGGCAAAGGCCAAGTCCAATCTTTTTCTCTCCCTGAAGCTCCGTCTGCTGCTTGTTGCAGGATTTGTGTTCATGTCTCAGGGTGAATCGATGTCATTCTCTGCTCCTGTGAAGGTGGAGCTTCGTAAGGAGTTCCAGGCTCAGGAGGCAGCGCTGCAGCGCTCGCTGTCCAAGCTGAGGAGTGAGCTCCAGAAAGCGCACGAGGAGGCCAGGGAGAACCGAGACAAGACCAACAGACTGCAGACGTCGCTGGCCAACGCAGAGGGAACCATCAAGGTGTGTGTGTGCGTCGATGGACTCACTGCATTGTTCTTCATGAAAATAGCGCTAAGACATGCTTTTGCTGCTCATACAAACTTCTTGTATTTACAGTAGTCTGCGGGTTGGGAAGTGGGCTAAATTGGATGAAAACAGTTGCAGAAAACAAAGACCAAAGTGAAAGCCTCTGGGCGAAGACGCTTTTCAAGAATCTCGTGTGGTGTGCTCTGATGGTCCTGCAGGCAAATGTGCAGAGTCTTGAATAGCTTTCAAGCTTTATGTGACTCTCAGGCTGCAGTGGGAGAGATATTACGAAACTGCTGAATGTTGGATTGCTGTGGTTATAGTTGTGGGAACATCTGTGCGTTTCTGTGTGTGCGCTGCAGAACCTGCACAAGCAGCTGGAAGAGGCCATCCAGGACGGAGAGATCTGGGTGATGCAGCTGAAGGACACCGAGTATGAACTAGACGGCAGCAGGGAACGAGTTCAACAGCAGGCTACTGAAATCCTCCATAAAGCCAGTAAGATGTTCCTCTGGCGTTACAGTGTGCACAGATGTTTTGCCGACATTTTAGGTAAACTGAGAAACCAAGCAATTGTTTCGCAACAATAAGGGCCAGACAACTAGTTATTCTTTATTATTAGACTCTGTCTCTCATTTTTGTCTTGCACCTGATCATATCTCACACGGATCACTCTAGAAATCCACATTCTCTATAAAAAATAACTCATTCACACATGGGATATGGTGCATATGCATCGTTTATACACGTGGCCCCACGTCGGATTATAAAGCTCAACATGTTCTCCTTCCAAAACACTTTAAATTGGCTGTTCACAGGTCAGATTGGCTCCTTGCAGGCCACCCAGATGTCCCATGAGGCGACCATCAGGAGCCTGGACCAGGAGCAGAGCCGGCTGAAGGACAAGCTCAGCCGGCTGGACGAGGAGAGGGAGGCTCTGCTCAACCAGAGCCAGGCCTCCAACGAACAGCACAAACAACAAGTGCTGAAACTCGAGCAGGTGCTATGAATCCTCCCTTAGTCCCAGTCCAGCCCGAGGAGGAAGACGGGTCGTTAAATCATTTCAACGTTTCTCATCCTCCTTTGCTTCCCCCTCAGTCTCTGCGTGAGGAGCACCAGGGTTATGAGAAGGAGCTGTGCAGGCTGAGAGCGCACTACGAGGAGGAGATGCATCGCTTCAAGGAGGCGCAGGTCAGAGCGCTGGAGGAGTTGGAGGGGAAACACCAGGCCATGAGGGAGGAGGCCCAGCAGGAGAAGGAGGACGAGACGTCGGTCCTCATGACGGTTCGTCAAAACAGTTTCAGAGCTTGTTTGTCTTAACTATTTATTGATCGTTTTCCCTTTTACGAAAGCAGACATGTCGGTTGAGCTTATACTAGACCCCACGGTGGTAAAACACTGAAAAGGCCACCGTTTTTATAGAAAAACAGCAATTACATCCAACTCCTGAGTGTTGCTCTCAGGGTTTCGTATCTCTCCTTTCAGTGCAGCACCATGAGTGATTACATTTCCTCCTCAGTGCAATTGGCCTCAGTCTATTAAGAAATATGTATCCCTGAGAAATGAGCCGCTCGCTCAGCTGGCTGCACACATTTAATTAGGTTAACATTAAGACTAAGACGTGAAAACAACATCGCTCTCTCCCCGTGTTTCCCTCTGCGGCTTTCATCCTGTCATGTCTTCTCCCTTCTTTCACTCCTCATTCGCTCTCCTCTCTACGCTCTCCAATACGAATGACCTCCTTTGCGAAGAAACACAGATCAAATGACACAGTTTGAATTAATTCAACCCTGATTTATTTTACCGCAACAGCGTTACATTACCAACAACAGATGCTTGTAAGCGGCTTGGGGAGGAGTGTGCTGTTTCTTACTCGTCTCTGTATTCTCCCGTGGGCTTACTCGCCCTGCGGTGATGTGTTTCATGTGCGGATCAAGTGTGCTGTTGTGACGGAAGCTACTGGCTAGTCCTACAATATGTCCACACCCTGTGATTTATATTAGCAGAGGAGCAGAGTAATCATGGGGACAAAGCGATCTTCTCAACACAAATCGCTCTTTTTTTGGTTTTCCATCAGCAGAAGTTGTGGATAGTTTTTTTTTTTTTTTTGGTACCACCTTGGTCGAGGTTCCAAGCGAGCTGAGCCGATAGGCGGAGTCAAAACCCTACAGACCACCGATTGGTCAGAGAGAATTGGGACAAATGAAAAGCCAAGCTAGTGTCAGATTCCGAATCAGAACCGTTTATTTGCCACGGTATGTTTTCTATGTGTTCGTAATGAAGACATACGAGGCCCAGTTGCATTCTGGACTAATAATCTGTCATTTCTCTGAGAGCCCTCTCCCCGTAAATACATAAATAAACTCATAAGAACCAGTTGAGTCAGTTTCGATTTCCCCACGTGGGCCCATGAGGTCGGGCTGACGATGCAGGATGATATCACCAGAACCGTCCAGTCGCACGCTGACAGGAGAGCGGGTTGTCGTTTTCTGATTGGTCAGCAGTATTTTTATTTCCCCCCCCCCCCCCCCCCACTTGGAATGGTAGAAGAGGAGGAGCGCTCGTTTTTTCTCCCGCTTGCAGCCCTTTACAGCACATTACACCCGGTTTATTCACGCTCGCATGGCTCCACCTGCATTCAGCGGCCATTAAGAATCCCATTCATACCGGAGCGTGTTGACGTCCAGTGGAAGTGAATTGGCTTAGAGGCACGAAGGCAGCATGATACATCACTAGCACAGAGTAGCTCCCTGCATTGTGTCTCAAAAAGACTATCCCTTCAACATCACAGCATATTTTCCGCCTCTGATATGATTACACAGTTTTAAATAATTTTGAGCTCAATGTTCTCCCCCTGTCTCTTCCGATATCTCTCCTCTTTCACAACATTTCTTTTTTTTTTTGTCCCCTTTGAGCTTAGACTTCCAATGCTGTTTGAAGCCGACTGCTAATTGTTTGATTTTCATTGACATTAAATCCTGCCTCCAAGCTAAGCCAGAGTGGTGTGTGAGCATGCAGGGGGGGGGGGGGGGTTTATAGATCTCCCTGAAATTAAGGAGCGACAGTGATGAAAAAGGAAATATTATGTAAGCCGGAGCGATGCTGCGCCTCGTCATCTTTAAATTAATGTCTGTTTTCATACAAAAGAATAATTAGAGAGGATGCAGGAAGACGGAGAGGAAAGAGAAGACGAAAAGTGTCGTTTTTAAAACGGCGAATTTGATCTTCATCATTTGATCTTCATCTTTTTTTAACTTTAACGTCTGTCAGCAAGATATTAACGAGTTTCTAAAACCGAGGCAATACAATGGCTAATTCTACAAATTGCTTGTTCTGTATTAATTCATAATTCACCACAATCTACTTAAAGCAATTTGAGACGGCAGCAGAATCGAGGCTTTGCGGTCATATCTCTCTAATCTCCCTGCTGCCGATCGTTCTTCTGTGGATGTATATTCATTAATTAAATCATCTGATTGGTTTGTTACCAGACGGAGGTAACTATGGCGCGGTAAACGGTCTTGTCTTTAGCCGTTAGTCTGGACTCTGCGGGTCGCTGGCCGTTCATTTCTACAAACAGATATGCAAATGAGGGCAGAATCGGGAGGTTCTGGTGTCATTTTGTAATATTGCTGAGTAGGGCAAAAGAGCAGCACCAGGTTACCACTATGGCTGCTATAAACAGTTACTTTCACGATCGCTTAATCCACTTAGTCTGATTAATTGTTTCATGTATAAAACATCAGAATTCCTAGAACTGAAGGTGACGTCATCACGTTAGTTAAAACCACCCAAACGGTATTCTCTCTAGTATCCCACGGGGGACAGGCCGACACTCTATTTCTAATATAATATGAATTAAATATATACATTTGTATGTGAGGATATTGATTGCAAACTCTCTGTGTGTACAGTGACGCATATTTAGCCCATCTACTAGCATTGATCTACGGCTGCATGATAATCAGAGTTCAGATTAGTTGTGCATTCGCTAAATTAGCATTTCTCCAGCGTATAAAGGGAAACATTTGATACAACTGAAATTATTAGCGCTTGAACTCAATTTCACCATCTGTCTCTGAGGATGTTATGGTGCTGTTTATCCAGCAGCACAGTGTGATTTCTAAAGAACTGCTACGACACCCTGAAAATAAAACACATCCACTCAGCGGATGAATGAAGAGCCGAGGCGAGAAGAAGTAGAAGAGGGAGCGTTTCATAAGAGACGTTCAGCGAGGCCCAGAGAGGATTTGGTCTTGTGGTTTGAAGGATTATAGAAAGCGTTTGGTTGGTTGGTTGGATGAGATGGCCTTTTAAGTTTGAAATGAAAACTCCTTCATTCAGTCGCCGTGCTTCACACTGAACAACTGCCTCAACTCCGTATTACGGCACCAATGGGATTTAAAGTGGCTTCTTAACTCCCGTCCTTTTTTAGAGATTATACTTTCAGAGGGAACACTGCAGGAATGAAAGGAAAGAGCGGCAAGGCCTTCATAGTAACCATTGGTTAGTTTCCTCTTCTTCTCATCCATCTTTTCCTCCTCTTTCTTTTTCCACCTTTCTCTTCCTTCTTCTCTCCAGAAAATGAGTCAGGAGTTCGAGATCAAGCGTCTGTCATTGGAGGAGCAGCGAGACCGCCTCCAGCAGCAACTCGACAACTTGAAAGAGGAGCTCTCGGCCAAGCTCAATATGGCCAATCAGGAGGTGCGGAAGAGTAAAAGAATATTTTGGATCTTTTGAAGTGCGGTTGAATGAGGTACCGCTCCACAGTCGGTGTATTTAGAATATCTCCATCGCTTTACTTTGCCGGCAGAACGAAGTTGCTGGTCTACCGGGACTTTGGTGATTTAAAGAGTTAGTTTAGATTCATCTAAGACACACGATAACACAACCTAATGAACCGATAGAGGTGTCAGAAAGGGCTGCACGTTGAAATTGGTTTTGCTGTACCTCATACTTCAAAACATCCAAACTATCCCTTTAAGTCAACTCTTCTTTGAGTCCTAAAACGTAACCAATCTTCTGATGATGATGATGATGATGCGTTAACCTCTCTGTTGATCTCTTCAGGTGTCCCACCTCCAGGAGCTGGTGAGGGAAGGCGAGCAGAACATGGGTTCAGCTCAGACGCAGATCAGCTGTCTGAGGGAAACGCAGGAGAAACTCAAGATTGAACTTGACGCTACTAGAGCTCGCGTCCGAGAGACCAGCAACCTGCTCACTGACCTACAGGTGAGGGAAGTACAGAGGGGTGCCTGAATACAGCTCCATAGATCCCTGGTACGTTTTCTGGAAATAACTATGTCATTTATCTTTAATTATAGGGGGAAGTATGAATGTTCTTCTACCCCAAGGAAAGATTCCTCCATTATTTATTAATTATTGGAAACTCTATTCTCCATATAAGTTAAACTGTAAGATTGCCTGTAGACAAATTTCACTTTTTTGCAAGTTCAGCTGAAATACTATCAAGGTTAGCGCTAATAATTCTCTGGAATTTATTCATTGGAAGCGTAACAATTGAGCTTGACTTTACTTATAATGAGTAGTGAATACAATTCAATCTTAAGTCAGTAACAGTGACAGTAAGTCTATCAAATATGTCAGCCGGCCAGCCAAGAACAAACCTAAATTCATGGCGTTTGCTGACGGGTTCAGCAGGAAATTAAAGTGTAACTAGATGCTCCGAAGTTTCGAGGAGGGAGGGAGCGAGAAAGAAAGAAAGAAAGAAGATGGAGAGATGGGAGAGAGGAAGAACATTTTTAAACGCAGGAAATGGGATTGAACTGAGACATAAGTGCAGCACTGAAGGCCAGCTGTGAGATAATGATGATGAGGCTATTTTGAGTTGAGTGGTCCTGTGTTTGAAAAGAGAGACGAGAGAGACGGGAAGATTGTGCGTGTGAGTGTTAGAGAGTGACCGGTTGTTGTTTATTCACATTATTAATTGAACGTAACAAAGTCAACAAACATGCACAAAGATGAAGTTAGAATATTTAGTAAAAAAAGTTCACAGCTGGTGGAAATTCACACATGAAATCAGTGAATACAAAATGGCCAATAAAAGAGACAGAGGAGGACAGAGAGACTGAACGAGGAGCGATAATTAGAGCCCGGCTTCTATAAAAGGAGAGGATTTGGACGGTTAAAAAATAGGAGCACCGGATTGTATCTGGTGTTCACACGGAGCCAGCTGAGCCCAGCTTCCCGGCGAATGTAGACCAGCTATTGTTCAGCGGGAACCCTCGAGTAGCTTATTGCTTTTATAAAACGACAGAAAGAAAAGTACCCAAAAAGTTCAGCTGAACTTTTGTCAATTCATCGTAAGAAATAGAAACAATAATCCAAGAGTGAGTGTTTAAAAAGTGTTTATTTAATAAAATAGAGGAGCATTATCACAGAGAACATATTTCGCTTCATTGAAATGGAAAATGTCTTCTTGAACATCATTTCTGGGATCCTAAACACTTTTACCTCGAAGCCGGACGGAGCTTTTCGGTCTTTTAATGAAGTCTTTAGCAGATAAACCCCGCAGCCCTCTTCAGCAGCAGGAAACGGCCGACCCGGTGAAGTTAGTTTCTGCCTGGGAACCAGCACATTATAAATGCCCTGTAGTGGTGGCATTATAAATAGATGTGGAGGTGGGCTTTGTGAGTCATCCGACGCTCAGCTGCTCAAATGCTGCATCGGGTCAGCGACAGCAATTTGAGGAGATTTGCTTACTTTCAGGAGCTTCGCGTTGTTATTGTTGATGACTCGGCACTCTGTCACCGAGTGTCAAACTCTTTATTGGACCAGGGATTATAATTATTTAAGTACATACAGTTTAAAAGTGTCTAAAAAATAGTATAAAATTAATTTGACGTGAAATACAAATGACGAAAGTTTATCCTGAGACAATGACACTTTTATTTATTATCTTAAGAAAAGATAGAAGCTATAAAACTTGCCTAAAACTATATTAGAAAACCTGACTATTTGTGGGGCAATAGAATAATAAAAAGCGTGTTTCGGGACGAATTTTATCTGTTGACTATCCGAAAAGTAGTCCCTTACAGGGGGAAGGAAGGCATGCAGGACAACATATTAAAAAGAGTATTTTAATAAAATGTGTGCGCCTGTTTGTGTTTGCAGGAGGAGATCGAGACCCAGAGACAGCAGCATGACGCCAGAGTGATGTCCATCAGAACAGAAGAGAAACAGAAGATGGACAAGATGGCGGATGACTTGGACCAGAAATGGAGAGATGCACTGCGGTAAAAACACAAAACAACAGTCCTCATACGTGTTACACTCTGTGTCGGCCTGTCAGTCTCACTTTCTCCTGTTTTGCTCGTCCCATTTGTTCTCTCGATCATCTCTGTCATCTCTCGCCCACACACGCGTGTTCTTACCACAACAAGTCGACTCATGGATATTAATAAGAAGAAGAATGGAAGTGAACACAATCGGAAGCGAGGGGATGTTTGCAGATATCCTTCAGCAGGAGAAAAAACGAAGCAGAATAAGCGTGAATCAAATAAATCTCATTACGCCTCCCTCTGCAGGGAGGAGGTGCGTCTGCTGAAAGACGAGCTGGCCGAGGAGTACGAGGCGGACAAGCAGGCGGCGCTGACTCAGATCTCCCAGCAGAAAGAACTGGAGATGATGGCGGCAAGAGAGGGCTGGCAGAGGAAGGTGGAAGACCTGCTGGAACAGGTGAAACACATGTACTCGTACTGCTTAAAGACACAACACAAGGTACGCACCACATGAACCGCCGCGCTGCGACCACCGATTTAGATTGTTCACGCACACCTGGCAAGGTGCAGGTGCGCCGTCTTGTTTCGTGCACATGCATGCAGTTGTTCTTTGTGTGTGTGTTTGCGGTGATAATAACGGTCACACTCTCACAGGCTTTGCATCCCCCGACTGATGCCGTGAACAAACCCCTTCACCTGCTTTACGATTCACATTATTCTCACAACATTGAATCGGCCTGAAAACACGAAAGGATTTAACTTCTCTTCCTGTGCTATTTTTGTCCAGTTTCTCTGTTCATCGCCAAAAGCGATGCAAGAATGAAAAAAGAAACACAGCTTCTGTTTTTTAATTAGTTTCTTTTCCAAAAGCCCAAATCTCTCCTCATACACGTATATGTAAGCTGTACATCCACATGCATAGGCTCTTTAAACACAAGATCATAGTCGAGTTCTCACAGCTGCAGTTGCTGGAGAATCCCTCTAATGGGAGTGAAAGTGGAAATTAGCAGAGGCTGCTCAGGTCAGAATTAAAGCTCTGTAGCAACAGAGAGAATCATTTGAAGCTGGTTTTAAAGCTCAGACGCTTGTCTACTTATCCTCACGCACCCATCCGCCCTGAGCATACTGCCTCTGGGTAATTCAGAGCTCAGCTGAGTCACAACTGAAACCAGAAAGAGGCTCGCCCTGATTCCGCCGGTGGCATCAGATAAACATTTTGTGACAAGCTGCAGCCTCGCTTGGCGACTTTTCAGACGCCCTCGACGCCCCGATACGTAACAGAAGAAGCTCACGGCGAAAGTTAAAGAAACGGTTTGACTCGTCCGTCTGATTAAAGTGTATTATTCATCCTTGGTTTGGAGGCAAAGCCCATGTGGCTCTGTGGTTGATCTTGCCATGGTGTTGGATATCAGATTCTTTTCTTATTTAGATGATAATCCTCTCGTCTACAAAATGTCAGAAAATGGAAATTGAAGATGGGCAGGGAGCAGAAGGCCGGCCCTTTTATATTCAATAGTAATAAAGTGAGGATATTTAAATCTGTTGCATTAGCTTTGGTAACTGTGTAAACGTGAATCACAGCGTTTTAAAGTGATCGTGCAGAATGGCTGAAAATAAACATCAAACAATGTCACAGACCAAATACCTAAGGAGCTTACACACTCTTTGTGTTTGTGTGTGTGTGTGTCTGTGTGTGTTTCCGTCACACGCCACTTCACATGTTCGGCATCGAGCAGCTCTGTGACTCTTCACACATGAGCCCCGATTGAAACTAACAGCTGTCAAAGTGACAACAGAACATTTCTTGTATGATGGATGACTTCTCAAATGTATGAAAATAAAAAAATAATCCATTTTATCAGACGTATATTCGACACAGGAAGGGAGGACACTCTGCACAGGTCACCTCCCTTCCTGTGTCCTCCCTTTTAAATCCATACCCAGCGTTGAACCCCACGCACTTCATCCTCTCATTTTAAAACCATCTTACCTTGCAGGCCCTAATGTAGTACTCCTACAGCCCTAAATCTCTGCCGGGGATTTAGCTGCTGCAGCTTGAGGAAGGAAGAGTGGCATGTGGAGGACCAGATCCATCAGACTGGGCCCCTAATAGTCTCAATATCTCCTCAAAACAAAACTGTTTTTGTGTGATGTGATGTTACTCGGTTCTGTGTGCTGTCGCTTGCTGTCTGACGAGCTGTCGGCGCATTGACATGAGCGGCGAAATCTCCGGCTACAGCTCTCAGTATTTGGCTCGTATCCATGTGTCGATACCCCCCCTAATGCTTCTATGTTTTGGCACATTGACCGGTCCATATATTCTTTTTTTTAATCCGTCTCTCCATTTCTTTACATACTCAGATGACTGTTTTGCTTTTCAGTATGAACACCAGCAACTATATCTGCTTCTCTTTGTGTTTTTGCCTCTTTTCTCTGTCCAGATCTCTCTCTTGAAACAGTCTCTGGAGCTGCAGTTGTCTCAGTCCCAGTCAGCCCTCCAGCAGCTGCAGTCTCAGTTCAACCAGGAGAGGGAGCTGCTGAGCCAACAGCTGAAAGGTAAGCAGGCCTCTCCTCCGAGGGGGGGGGGGGGGGAACTGCAGCTACAAGCCGGCAGCGGCATGCAATCTGACCATGAAGGTTTTCATGAAACACGTCGTCTGTCTCGTTGAACGGCGTGTGTTTGTGAACTCTGTTTGTTTGCAGAGATGCAGAGAGAACATCAGAGGCGAGAGCATCGATTACAGGAGGCTCACTGCTGCGCCCTGAGCACCATGGAGGAGGCCAGGCAGCACCAGATAAGGGTATGATCGGGTACACGTGAAGCACGCGTGCGTGTATGTGTGCATTCTTTGGCCATATTACTCGTGAGTCTGTGAAACTACCAACACAAGACACAAACAGTCTAAACAGTCTAAGTATATGGGGGGAAAGGTGTTCTAGTTTTTCTAATATCATTAGTTTTAATTGAATTATTCTTTTATTCATTAGCTTTATCTACTTTAATTCCTCCCATTCCCTCGTGAAGTGACATTGAAAATGAGCCGTCGTGTTAATAGCTAATGGTTGACTTTATGGTTGAAGCTCAGATATAATCACATTGCACACATTTGGTGTGCAATGAGGTGATGTGTCAGGTACCTTTTTAATGTTAACGATGTCACGGGTCGCATAATGCACCTTAATGGAAATGAGGCAGTTCAGTCGGTGTGATTTCATGACCGCTAAACTAAATAAGGCGTCTTTTTCATATTTCTTTATTAATAATACCTCTCACACCACTGATTATGTGGCACATTAAGGCTGCTTAATGGGTTTAGCATCTATCATTTATTTTGTATGTAGTTTACATAACTTATGAGCATTCTCCTCCAAATGGAACAAATGTTTCACAATTACATTCTTCATACTGATTTTCCTGCAAGTTTCCGATACACAATATTGTTCCAATGCTTTGATGCTTAATTCTGAGTTTTGTTACTACCTTGGTGGAGCTGAACCAAAGTCAGCTATTTACTGTAATGTTTCCTTTATCCAGTGCATCGTGGGACAAATAGTGTCCAGCAGAATGCTCAAAATAGAAGCGGATTAAGTCTGAATACGGACTGTTTTGACTGTAATTACTTGTCATTCATTCATTTTCACTGATGAGATGCAATGATTTCTTTCCTCCTCAAATATTATAATTACAAAAGTCGCCACATGGGGGGAAAAAAGTGCATTTTTGATCGGTTATATCGATGCTTTCCTGCCCTCTGCCAGGCCCTGGAGGAGCGTCTGAAGCAGGAGCAGAGGGAGGAGGTCCATGCTCTGAAGGAGGCCCACAGGAGGACCTTTGACATCCTGAGACAGCAGTCAGACCAGGAGCTGCAGACGCTGCGATTTGAGCTGGAGGACGAGGGGAAAGCCAAGCTGGGTAAATGATTATACACACAAACCAAATTGCTGTAGTTTAAAGAAAACACGGATGACTCTTCTGCCTTCAGCAAAGATGTTTCTACCCGCGGTGATTATGTGTCTACCTGCTGCGTTGATGCTTATTCCCGTAGTGATCGTTAAAGAACTAGAAGGAAGCACAACCAGCCTTGAACAAAGAGGTGATGCAAACCTCTGTTAGTAAGAGACTCATTGACAAACTTTAATGGGATTAAATCAGCAGATTGCATTGCAAGATCCACTATTGTTTTTTTTATCTCTTCTCACAGTGATGTCACAGTTTCTTCCCATGATGCTGAGATGTTGCTTGACGTTTCTCCTCTCTGTCCGGCAGCATCTCTTCGGGCAGAGCTGAACCACCTCCATGCTGCGTCCATAGAGCATCTAAAGCAGCTCCACCATAAAGACAACACTTGCGTCAAACGAGATCTAGAGAGCGCGATGGATCACAGCCACCAGCAGGTAGCTGTCTGTTTTCCTCTTTGTTTTGTTCTTCCAGCACGTGAGCTGGTTGACATCTTCATGGCTCTCTGGATTTCATGTGTTTCTTCTAGGAGCAGGAGCTCCTCGCTCGTCTCTCAGACCTGCAAGCGGAGCTGTGTTCCCGAAGCAATCGCATCACCGATCTGGACCATGAGATCCACTCTCTGAACGAGACCATCGACACTCTGACCAGAGAGCTGGAGATAAAGGGCAAAGAGGTGCTGCGGGTTCGCAGTGAAGCTAACCATCAGATAAGGTACAAAACAGCAGAGCGGTTCCGTAGCCAGACATCGATTTCACAATCATTTACAGACTCACGTAATTCTCCAAATGATATGTTTTGTCGGTCTCTGCTCTAGGGCCCATGAGCAAGACCTTTCAAAGAGACATGAGAGGGATCTGGGGGAGATGAGCATACTCCACCACAGAGAAACACAGATCATGCTGGCTGACTTCAGCAAGGCCCAGGAGGTCCTCAAAGACAAGATCACTGCGCTGCAAATACTGTAAGTCATTGAGTCTGTTGTGTTGCTCCTTTTGGGCTTCCACTGTGTTTCTGTGTCTCTGCTGGTAGAACTCATTGCTTTCTCCTTGTCGTGACGTTATCGAACCTGCTTCTGTACGTCGCGTTTGTGCGTTCAGGCTGCAGGGGACGGAGGACAAGCTCCGAAACAGAGAAAGCCGACCAGAAGACCTGCGTGTTATCGCAGAGCTCAGAGAGATGGTCACCGAGAGAGAAGCTCTGGTGAAGAAGCTGGTGGTGAGTAGACCGGGTGGCGTCCGGGGCGTAAAACTCCTTCTCATCTGCGTGGACGCGGATTTTGACTTGGTGTTTGTTGCATATCAATGAACTCAGTACAAGTACCTTTAAAGTCTTGTAAATATCTTGGGTCGTCTTTTTCACAGGACGACAAGAAGTTCTACCAGCTGGAGTTGGTCAACAGAGAGACGGGCTTCAGCAAGGTCTTCAACTCCAGTGCCAACGTCGGTGTGATCAACCCTCTTATCAAGGTGAGCGATCGCACGCTGAAACACAGACCTACGTGAGGCCGAGTTCTCGATGTATATGACCACTGGTTTGTCACATTTTATTTTTTAACCCTAGTTCATGCATTGTTTTTTTTTTTTTTTAGAAACTTAATCAATCACAATATGACAAAAATTCAAAAAGTACACCGACACAGGGCCTAAGAGCACCAAGGCAGCCCATCCACCTTCTGTATGCAGTTGCCAAATAATATTATTGATCATTATTCGAGGTAATAAAGGTCGCTGTCATGATTATTTATCTACATTGTACATCTATCCTCATATTGAAATTGATCCGCAGCAAAGCCATGCAGTGAGGGACAAGGGCTGTTTAGTTATTGCACCTTACACACTGTAAGAAGAGAGCGTCCTTGTGCTTGATTTTATTTGTTATTGTCAATATATTTCATCCTTACCTTAAATGTCTCCTATTTTTTTGAGCACTATGAGTCACCAAAGCACAAAATCACCCCATTCCACACAGCCTCACATCAGGTTCGTCTTAGAGACTGATCTCTGTGCACGCAGTCTTCATACCTTCTGTTTTATCGCTCAGAAACAATGATGCTTGATTTCAGCCTCATAACAACATCGGTCCTCTCCTTCTGTCCTTTCCTCCTCCTCATGCTGTTGTTGCTCACGACATCCGGTAACGTTCACATCCCATGTGCAGGATTCGAACGTTTCTGACTTCGGCAATTGTGTGTTTCTTGTGATAAGTTGCAGTCTTGCGATTGCCCAATCGTAGCTCTGCCACTGTAACTAGGTCACAGGTCCGGTGTGTCCAGCTTTGGATTTCTCTCCATGTTGAAGCGGTGTGTACGGGGCTTTAGTGAGAGCGAGTTTCTCTTTTCTTTTTAGCCTTTCCCAAAGTGTAAGAACTGGATGCAACTCTGTGTTTATCTGCATCAAAGCTGCAGTCGTTAGCATGTCCAGCTAACTAGCTTACTACCTTCAGTGGTAACCAAGTGTTACTTCAAGGCCAAGGAGCATGTCGTTAGCTTATAATGCGGGGTTACAGGATGCTACTTTACCAGTACTCTAGCCAGTCAGCTCTCTGATTCGTCAGCCTCCTCCCACCATGAGTCATGAAGGAGAGGAAGAGGAGGGACGGGAGGTGGAGGTCCCTCCCCAGACTCAGGAAAGCCCTTCCGCTGTTCAGCCCTCTTCCTCTTTCTCCTCAGCATCCTCTTCCTCCTCCTCTTCCTTCTTCTCCTCATCCTCCACATCATCCCATACCAAGCCTTGCTCTTCCTCATGCTCCTCATCCTCAGGAAGCCCTGGTGCAGCATCAGGGCCTGCAGAGCTTTAGGAGGTGAGAACCAATCTGTCTTGCTGCCACTGCTGACCTCCGTTCACCTTTACTTCACCGGGAGTCAGGGCGGGAATCACGAGATGTTTGATGCCCCGACTGTCTGTGTAGCTCACCTCACTCCTTAGTCACCCTCCCCAGAACGCTGCAGTCTTTCTCCATCAGCTCAGGGTCAACAGAGACATATAATGAAGATATAATCTCATCTTGATCCATAATGCTTTATCATCTCATTTTCCCCTTTTTGTATCATTGAACTATCACACATCGTAGACAGACTCTTCTTTGAAATAGACTCTCATATAAAAAAGAACCAACCCTGAAACTCTGCACTGACGGATCAGTCTCAATGAGACCTCAAACCCTGATGCAGAGAGAGAATGAGTGATTTTAAAGCACTTAGAAGTGCAAGTTGCAAATGTGAAACCACTTAAGAAAACGCTTTGGTTCTCCCAGAAAAAGGGGCCGTATAAGAGGAGATGAAGGAGGCTTGTTTGCTGCATGCGCTGAATATAAAACATAAAAACAACACACAATCTGAATGTTTGTTTAGAAAAGATGATTTCAAAGGGAGGAATACTTTACTAGTTTGTTAGTTTTTTGTGTTATTTTGAATTGAAAGGAGGAAAAGTTGTTCCATATCTTTCCATAAATCTTCAATCTCGGAAGCAGAGCCGAAAGTAATCCGGGTTTATAAAAAGGATGGATGAAAGTCCACTGTTAAAGTGTCCTTGCATGTGGAGGAAGAACTATCTGTGTATTGTGGACATCACACCAGCCTTCAGTTGTTTTTTATATTTATAACAAGCACTCACAGGATCTATTATGCGCTGGTTTTGCCCACAATCACTACACCGATTGATCTGACTCTGCTGTTTTCTGATGCTGCCAGACAAGCTACCATGCTAAAATGTGAATCGTGTCTGTATGTTCAGTTTCTCTCTGTCTCGTCCTTCGCCTCATCCGCCTGTTTCTCCTCCCTCAGCCTTCCTGAGGCCAACGCCACGACGCCATCCGACATGAGAGCGGTGGAGGCGGGAAAAAGCAAAGAACAGGTCGTGAAAGAAGAGGACCTGTACGCCCAGTACTTCACTTTCTGACCGGCAACAACAACAAAAAAGAAAATCTGTCAAAAAGAATCAGGTAATGGGACAGAGAGCTAAAGTTGGACTGCAATCACACTGTCGATTTTGAAAGTAATTTGGGCGACATAACTGCTATTCACAGCGCTCCCATCCATCATGTGCAGCAGTGAGATTCCAGCGTGACTGCAACCTTAGGGCTTCCATACATGGTGAGCGTGACAAGTAGTGCTGCTTGTCGGAGCGTCACCATGAAAGTGTGCATGGTAGCAGAATATAAACGCTTTTATACCACGTGCATTTGTGCAAAACGGGACATTTGTATGAGCTGTAATGTGCCGAGAGATGCATGTAATCTTACAAGTTGAAAGGACTTCATCACCCGTGCATTTTTTAATTTTGGTAACCTTAGACCCAAAAGTTAAACTTAAAAATGTAGAATAGGTTGAAAACAAACTCCAGGTTAGTTAAAGTTATTTGGAAGAGAAAATAAAGTCCAACAGTAAAATTATTACCATTATTATTTGATGAAATTTCCAGTAGAGAGAGCAGTGAATAATAATAGTGAGTAATTGATCTGAATTATCCTTTACGAAATATAATAACAATGATTTCCCCTCTCCTCTCCGGCTTCTTAAGCTCATACAAAGACGTCGCCAACAGTGTTGCAGAGAGTATAAAGTGTGACACAAGTAACTGTATATTAGGAGGAAATGTTTTCAGCTCCATATAAGATAAGTTTTTTGTTTTTCAATACATCAACATGTGTCTTACAAAGCTGTAATCTGACTGGAAGTGTTTTGAAAGTTTAGCCAGGAGGACAGAGTGATTTCTGCCTTGATACTCGCCTTCAGTCGCTCATGTTGTCTCCATGTGTAAATATATACACGCATTCATGTCTTTGAGGAAGAAAAGGACAGACCCAGCTGTTGATTCTGGTTGTTTTTTTTGGACTCTACCGTACGATGAACTACAGTATCCCACAATAACGACACCAGCAAAAAAAAAAAAAAAGAGTAACTTTAGCTTGCTGTCCCAGTGCGTTGACCGTGTACATACAGTTCATGTTTGAAAGTCCTTTTCAAACCTCTGAACTAGCTAAAGGGGCGCTTGATTTGCATTCCCATAAACACGTCAACAGGCCCAGGAGGGGAAACATCAAGAGGAAGTGAATCAAGCGCCCCTGGTGTTTTTTATTATTCCAGTATTTATAATGTAACAAGCTACTGTTTTTCTACGGTCTGTTTGTGATGCCAGTGGACGAGAGACACGCAGAGAGAGAGAGAGTTCTGTCAGCGACATGGAGAACTTTTTTTTAATGCCGAGGAGCTCGTGTCGGTGACTGAAGTCTGTTGCCGTGTGTCTCTGCCTGTGGGGCAGGCCATAGAGCATGTGAAAACAGAACCACCGCCATAACCCTGCTGTCACTCACTTGAAATCCTCACATCTCCGTTTTTTGTTTTTTTTGGTGTACCGTCTTCTTTTTTACTTGACTTGAAAGTTTACATAGTTCTCGTGCTGCGTAATTTTCACTACCTGAAGGTCCGTGAAGTCCATTCGGTAAGGATGTACAGTTTCCAAACTGCATGGTCATCATCAGCCTGAAAGAGGCTGTGTTTATTACTTCTCGAAGAGCGGGACGCGAGGTCTTCCTCTCACGCTGACGCCACCGGGGTGCGTTCAACAACAACAACAACAACAACACAAACGGATCAAGCTTCACGACGGCATCAATCGATGGTCGTCTTCCATATCAGTCAACTGGTTATGGTTCAGGAAGTGTTTGTACTTTCATTGTTTGAGTTCATGAATCACACAATATGTCAGATGCACCTTAATGAAACAATCCAACCACAAAGAATTGAATACATTCTCCAAAAACACTCAAATATATATGTTTATATATATTTATATCTTACCCAGAGCCACATTCTTATCTGACTGCATGTAAGATCATATTCCTCCAAATGAACTGTCAAAGTGAAACAATAAAAACACTTCCTGAAACCGGTTTGAGACATTAACTCAAGCAGACATGTCTGTGTTTGTGTCACATGGGAAAGTTATGACACCTTCATGACATGAACGCAGCATAATGACAATGAAGCTCCAGTTACGCTGAATGTCATCATCGCTGACACGGCATATTCAAGTGGTTGAGATGTAAATATTGACCTGTAATAAATACAGACGACGGTATCCTCTCTGGGAATCGTAGTCCCGACGCTGAACCACGGTTGGTTCATTCCTCCATGCACACTGTGAAGATTATATTTATCCAAACAACGATAGTCATATATTGACATTTACGCTTCGACATCTGCATCAGACAATGCGGAAGTCTTTCTTATTAATGCATTTTTCTCACAATCGCATCACATTTGACTTCCACTCGTTTTATTTCCCCAGCTGATGATTTCACATACTTGTCTTCTATGTTAAGAACTAAACCAAGAAGCACATTCTTCCATGTCTGATAGACGACGCTTTACTGTGAATACTGGTGATTATTTTTAACGAGGGGGATGAATTTAGTTTGTTTACACCCAATAATTAAGAGAATATAGAATATAGATCTAAAGGGAAACTAGACAGAAGGGCAGTTACAAATCCATCTGCTACTTCAGCACCACGGACAGCGCCATGGATTCGTCAACACACAGCACAGAGAAATGGTCACAGCCACAGATTGTAACCGATAAAGGATCAATGAGTCAAGCAGAAGAATAGACGAACATATACAACTAAACAACTCCTCTACACTGCAGACAAGGTATTTACTCTGATGGATTGGCAAACTCAAGTAACTTTAAAAGTCTCAGCTTGCAATAATGTAAAACACAGCCACTGTCAACACATTTCCACTTCTTCTTCGCACTTTAAGGACTTCCCGTCCATGTTGGTTCATTCTTGATTTTTGTAACGGCAGTTGAGAAAACAATATCACCACAAGGTCCATTTTAGTAGCTGTTCTGGAGCTTTCTAATCACGTGATCTTCATCTGATGTGTTCATAAGAGCTCCAGAACAGCTCCTAAATAGACTTTGCGGTGATATTGTGTGTTACGAAGGAATAAACATGTAAAACACTGTAATGAAATAGCAAAAAAATGAAAGATATTTATTTATTTACCTGTTTTTTTACGTAATTGTTCCCATTCACATGTCTGTACTGTTTGGTTCTTAGTTGATGTATTTTTTCTCAGAGCCCATTGGTTGATTTGATGCATTTGTAATCCATCTGTTGTTTTAGTTGAAGCCATTTCATGTGGTCATTAGCAGAACTGCAGGCATTGCCATCGCATGACCTTTGACCCCGAGGTTCACGAAAGTCTTTTTGAAATGTAACTTTTCAAAATGAACTGTTTCTCAACAAACTTATGGAATCAGTATTTTAACATTGGCATCAGCTGACCATCAATGAACCACTGAAACTGCAACTTATTAAAACATTAATTGTCGGTTTGTTTGTTTTTTTTATGTGAAAGTGATATGACGTATTATTTAATGATGTCTGTCTTGCCATTTTTGAAGTAAAAATATATAACAATTATAACAAGGATATTTATTTATATTTATATGATTTCTGTTGTATGTTATGGAACAGTAAAATTATGATTGTGAGATAAAGCCTTCTCTTGTGCTCCTTTTGGTGTTCTGTGTGTGTGCGTGAGGTCATTTTTGAGAGAAAGTTGAGTGACAACGTAAGGTAAAAAAAATATATAAAGCTTTTATATAATATTATAAGCTAGTTAAATAATTTAAATGCTGTTTTAAATTATATTTGTAATACCAGAGTATTACCTGGTATTTTGTATGTATTGGAACAAAAATATTTATTTATTTCATGGGTATATTTTGTAAAACTCGAGCACAGGCAAGAAAAGAAATAACCAATCAGAATCCAAGGTAAGGCTAGTTGCTAGGTAAGAAAGGAAAACACGTCAGGGAGCTCTGTGATTGGCGCTCCCTTTACCGACAAATTAACCAATCACGCATCACTTAAAGAAAAGAGCGACATTTCTGCTAAAAGTGAGGAAGCTAACGCTTAATAACGGCTACTTTCTAGAAACACGGTGGTATTGTTGTAAACTTTTAGGTAACACCGTGTTTTATGAATGAACTGTCATTTTAATATTGAATTACTGAAGAATACTTCAAGAAGAAGAAGATATTTAGCCCGCTGGAGAAGTTTTGGAGAGCCTTTTGTGGAGTTTTCATGTCATCTCTTCTCCAATCAAGGCAGCTTGGTGAGTCAATATTGATTCATGAATCTAGAACGTTAACCTTGTATTTTTAGTTTCATAAAATGTAAATATAAACTGGTCAATTAAAGCTGAAGCTGCTTTCAGGGACCTGTATTTTTTATACATCTAAATGCACATTGCAAAATAATCGTTTCCACACTTGCAGCAGGAGAACCACTTTAATTTCATTGACATGCAATTTCTTTGTTCCATAGTTTTAAAGTCAGGTGGTACAATCTTCCAAACAGACATAGAAGAACAAAACCACAGTTTTAATTTTTTACATTTTCAGCCATGGCTAATATAGTGAAGATAAATTACATGTAAATGTGGTAACTTGTCAAAAAATGTGGACACGTGCTGTAATTAACCAAAAAAAAAGTCAGCATTAGTCAATAACAGCTTGACGTGAAATGGCATAAACAGAAAACGTCATTAAGTTAAATCACACCATGCAAAGTGTCCCTCACTGCTGATAAACTGCCAGGTCAGCTCTTTGCATACTTCATAACGGATGTACATTAATCTCTGAAGCCCAAATAAAATATTGCATATACATATAGTGCATTATATGTGCATGTAGCCCATCGGAGACACCTGCAGGTAAGCTGCCTAAAGGTTGAAGATGCTCTCCGCATCTTTATCTTCCTGCTGGTGGGCCGCAGCAAAGCAACTGTGCTCATGGCAAATGTAAATTAAACAGCAGCGATGCATTGATATACTTCAGTATTTTGCACATTGCACCTATTGTTAGTGAAGCGGGACACGATCAGAGCAGATATATACGAACACACAGTGAAGTTCAAACATGTTGAAGGCGGGTCACTTTAGATCATTCCCTTGAGAGAGAGAGAGAGAGAGAGAGAGAGAGAGAGAGAGAGAGACAGCTGATCTCTGATCAGCTCTGATGGAGTTTGACCATTGTTGTTTTCAGCTGTTGTCAGGCAGGGTTCGGCTGATATATGGGGATGTTGTTATTGCTTAATTAGAAATACGACCTGCATTAAAAAAAAAAAAAAGAGCCCATATCTCAGCCAAACCCGACTCCCTCCGGCTCTGCTGCTCTCAGCTGCTCAGCAGGACAATGATGTAGATGAGCAGCAGGCAGATGAGGATGAGGCTGAAGTTGACGAACAGCTCCTGCAGGTTCCTCTTGGCCTGCGGGTTCACCTCGATCATGGAGGCTCGGCGGATGGCCGACTTGGTCATGTGCTGAACGCGCTCCATGGAGACAGCGGACCGGCTAGATTGTGATCGGCTGGATAAACAAGAGAGGGAGGGGAGGGGGTCAGGCTGCTGGGGCCTGTTCGGGCCGAGTGGAGCCGGGACGAACTGGTCAGCGCTGGTTTTTTGGAGGAAGGTGAGGTTCAGGGAGCTGGTGGCCTGGAGACGAGCTCAGGTCAGGTGTTTTTATGCAGCCTGGCCTGAAGCGGTTCAGTCCTGGTGACACAACAAAGACAGAGGCCTCTTCTCTGGTCTTCTCCCTGCTGCTGGAACACAAGAAAGTAAGAAAAAGGTTAAAGAATAAAAACCCAAACATAAAATATTCATGACTCGAAAATCAACAATCAAAGTTAAAGTATTAAAGTGTTATTTGCTGACTAACTTGTACAGCAATATCGACCAAAAGTTTGCCAAAGTTAGTCACCATACTGGTCATACTGGAGCCTTGTTATGAGAGACGTCTGTTGTTGTAGATATGTGTCCTGTGTCCTGAGGTTTGTCCTGAAACAAAGTGGCCATTTTGGATTGCTATTCCGTCTTTCACTGTAACATCAAAAGCACTTTCAGCGTAACAGATAACAGGAGTCATGTTAGCCCGACAAATCAACACTTCTATTTTTATCATTTCACTTTTGTTTCTTCCACCCGTAATCTTCCTCTGAGGCACCACTTATCACTTGACATGTTAGCACCTAACACACACACACACACACACACACACACCCTCATACCCCATGAGATACCTCCATAAGAGTGTCAGTCTGCTTTGAGACCTTCTGACCCGACTGAAGTGTCTGACAGCAGGAGCCCTGAAGACTTAAACAGCCTCCGTGCATGTACGAGAGAGTGTCACCGTAAATTACCTGCATTTAGAGGCTTAGTTTGAATTGATATATAAAGCCGACACAATCATGGTAGAAAAAATTATAATTACGTACATTTTAATAGGAATGAAGCTTCAGGAAAGACGGCTGCTGAAGGTTTGTGTTCTCGAGATTAAAGTGCTTATTGCACCAAATTCCCCATCAAATCCCTGTTTTCTTGTAACAGACCAAAGTATTCTGTTTCACTGTGAAATACGAAACAGACTAAAGACACTGGGACTTAAAACCTGGCATAATCAATATTTTGTCCTGCCAGCACTTTGACCTTTGACGCTTTGGCATTAGGTTGTGAATCTGCAGCTCAAAGTGAGTGACTGGTGCTCCACGCTATCCTCCGCTTGTCTGTGCGCATCATTATGTGCCGAGTGCCGACTGTCAGTCACTTTCATGCCAGAAGACGGGCTTGTCGATCTTTTACCGCGCAAGTAATCCTCATTTCCACAAAAGAGAAGTTCAATGTTGACAGGAAATACACCCAGGCATCTCCACAATCCACCAATAAGGTCTCTTTCCTCTCTTTGTTTTGTCATCTCTTGCTCTAATTCCTCCTCGAGATCAACACTTTTCTGTTCACGAAAATAGCTGCAGTATCTATGGGAATGTTCAAAGTGGAGATGAGTGTTTACCCCTCTGGGAGGTTCAGTCCAGTCCCCCCCTCCCCTCTGTATATGAACAATGACTTTTTTATAAGAAGACAGGATTCATACAGTTTCCCTGCGTACCGTAACACAAAGCAGCCTACTGTTACCCTCACAGTGAGACCAATGAGGTCTCTCCTCTGTCACTCAGCTGATTAATAAATGACACTTCAGGAAGCCTTCAGGCTCCATGAGAAACAGTGTCATGGTCATTTAATCCACTCGAAATAACAACACTTAATTCTTTATAATGACTCTTCCAGTCCAGATTAATTCTAAGCGTTATTATCATCAGTATCTCCACATCTACTGTTGTGTGAAATGACATGAAAATGAAAATGAAGAGCAGCTGTTTCTGTGGAGGATGCTGGATCTTACCTTTCAGATGAGGACAGAGCCGGCTGGAGTTTGAGAGAGAAATGTCAGATATGCAGCGCTCTGCAAGGCTGTAAACACAGAGAGAGAGAGAGAGAGAGAGTGAGAGTGAGAGGCAGAGAGACAGAGAGAGAGAGAGAAGGAGGCAGGACATCCTAGAAACGATTTGAGGAGAGTGGGGACACCATGTCTGGTGGGTTATACATGCTGCGCCACTGTTCACTTCAAATCCTAAAATCTAAAAGTTGTTGAACCAGGTTCCCGTGACCGATAAAAGGTCTAAATGCACTTGAAATAATGTGAAATTATCACAAGTTGAACACAATTAAAATTTTTCATCTGTTGACATTTCATTCACAAATGATATCAGATATCGTATGTCTGTATTAAACAGATTATTTTCGATCATTAATCAAGCCCGTAGGATTAGAGCCTTCTTCGCAGAAACTAACTCACTCAAAATCAAGCATTGCTCAACTCAAAAAAGGTCTAATATTGTTGTTCATTCTGCACTCTGCACTTCCTGCCTCCTCGGCGTGATGGACGTCGGCTTCACCGCGTTGGCATTCCAGAGCTAGCTCGCAGTTTGGCCTCCGATCAAACGTGGTGGCTGGACGACCCCATTGTCTTCATCATCCTGACGGGCAGCTGACAGACGCACCGAGCAGCTGATGGCGACTCTAAATATACAGCTGGGCCGTGACCGCGCAGGCCATGAGTCTGGGGATTGATCCTCTGGGACCCTGATATCGTTGAAGCAGGGATAAAATAATAGCCTTGTTTTCTAAAGGTATTAATTCACCAATGTAACCAATATTTTGGGTTTAATAAACAACTAATTCTGGGTCTTTGGCAGAGTTTGTGTGTGAAGTCCTGGACAGTGTCCTCCACTTGGGAGGAATCAAAAGAGACAAGCCCTTAAAAAATGAAAAAAATAGTCCGGAAAAAGTAAAAATAACCTCTTCTGCCACGGCCCAGAAAGCTTTGCATCTGCCTTAAAAGGAGAGCGTGCGTGTAAACAGGCTGTATGTCATGTACCGGGCAGGCTGCTTCTCCACCGCCGGATACACAGATAGACTACGAGCAGATATGTCCGTCACCCTCCTTCATGACAACTGTGTTTCTTATTAAGATAAGAGGAAACAGATGATTCGGCCCTCTGGGAAGGCTGGGAAAGGACACACGAGGGTATTAAAGAAAGCAGACCAGCGCTTCATAAACATTTGAAGTGGCAATGAAGAATAATATTATGAGTTATTACCAGGGGGGATAAGACGAGACGTCAAATCTACCGAAGTATGTTCCATGTGCAACGCTAAAACAGAGAGAAAGACGGATCGGTTAAAAATACAATGCCATAAACAAGAAGTCTGCTGTTGTGACATTTCGTCAGGATTCATCCCCCTGGAGGTCGTTACAGTGTTTACGAGTTCTGTATCAGTACCTTTAAAAAGTTCTTCTTTCTCAGCTGTTCCCTGTAGAGCCAGTGGGTATGTTTTATGTTATTTGTAGGGAGGGCAGCATAACCTCTTCTTTAAGTGTGGTTACAGACCTAACGTTGGCCTTTATTAACAAGAAAATAGGTCATCTTTGGTGATCTTTGCCTGCAAGTGTGGTAGCATGCGGAACACCGCTGATCCAAATCTTCCACCATGTGTGTGATCTTCGACAAATTGGTGTTAATATTGAAAAGAAAAAAGAATTGCACTGACAACATGGTCAGAGATATATGTATATGTATGGTGTATCTGGACTTTTAGGTGTCTCAATGATCCAGTTTTATCTACACAAACACACCGCTTTTTATTTCCAGCTGAATTATTAAAAAAATGTTCCACAATGTTTTCTTTTTTCTTTTGTCCCAGGAGCAGTTCAGCTCTGCAGCCTTACATGGTGAGAGAGAGAGAGAGAGAGAGAGAGAGAGAGAGAGAGAGAGAGAGAGACAGAATGAGAGAAACAACAAAACCACGGCGGGACCGGAGAGAAGCATGTCTGCTGTCACAAGAGAGGGAGATTTGTTCTCTCCCGAACAAAGAGGTAAAGAACACAAGCATGAAAAAAAACCTGTGACTTGCCTCTGACCACGTTCTCATGTTCAGACAGCAGAGGATTATTCTCCATCACTGTGGGGACCTTTACTGCTCACAGGCCAAACTCAAGATAAGTTCAAATCTAATAGTGAAAATCAAACCACAGACTTGTCAACGCTGCTGCTGTTTCTGCTCTAATCTCATGATTGGCAATGGAGTCGCCTCCTTTAGAGTCGCCATGTTTAAGTCAGGTGTTCTCAGAGGAAGATAATCTGGTATTTACAGGAGCTCTGATCTGTCCTGTGGGGGGTAAACTTTAGAATTGGGTATTCAGTTGCTTCAGGTACCGCTTGAACAGGAAAATCAGATTCAGAAAACGCAAGTTGACGAGCAAAAGTGTGAAGCTGCATCGACGCAGTGGCCTCCTTCAAGTGAATGAGGGGCCTGTGTGTTTTCACGCCGAGGACGCACAAAGTGTGCACGTAAGGAACTAAACAATGCCGCCTCGGGTCCCAGACAGTTGGCCACACATTACTCCGCTGTATATTGTAAACATACTGGGAATGTTTGGCTCTGCGTGTCGGCTGTGACTCGACAGAAGGAAGTGTTGAGGATATATTCACTTACAAAGGTCCTACGCTACCCTCCTCTCCTTTCATCCTCCAACTGAAACTAGTGTTACATTCTAATTGGACCGCATGAGAGCCGATGACACCGGCGTTCATGATGCTTTTAAATCCCTCTTTGTCATTTTTGTTGATGTAATCGTCGCATATTGCTTGTAGCTCATAGATAGACGATGAGAGAGAGAGCGAGGGAGAGAAAGGGCACTTTAGGGGTGAGGAGGGGTTTACCCCATCAGCTGTGTTTACTCTGGAGGACTTACTGCTGCTGTTGGCAGCTTCACGCACATTCTCTCCTTCCCTCTCTCTCTCTGTTCTCCAGATATAGCCAGCTATGTGGAGAAGCCCTGAACTAGCTTCTCCCCAGAGGCCTCGGGCTAAGAGCAGGGTTTATCTGATATGGGCTTTTTGAAGCACAACCCTAAAAACAATCCTCCTCCGAAACTCCCTCTAACGACGTTAAAATGTCTGCAAATAGAATTTCACAAAGATTCAATTGAGAGAAATCTAATTTAGAGACTTGGGTGGGTTAAAGGTTCCTTAAGGCAGCGTAGGAACTGGTTTTATTAAACACGGTGTAGAGCCTTTCCAGTTCCAGGGAGCTAAATATGAGAAAAAACACCATATGATGTGCAGTTTATACCTTAAAATCTGTAAATGACACACCGAGCTCTGGTTTAGCTTTGTTAAAACGGATAATTAACAGTTAGGAAACACTAATGCACTGAACAAGTGATTGAAACACAGACCACATACACCTTAATCTGGTTTTAATGAGTTCTATGGATGAGTTCTGTGGTAACACAAAGGTGTTACCTCCTATGAATGACATTTATAGTCAAGTATTAGCATGAAGAAGAGCTTCTTTTTGTTGTGATGAAGGGGTTTTGCATAATGATGGTATTGGCCTTACATGTGGGTCCTCAGGGCGACTCTAAAACCAAGAGTATTGCCAAAAGTATTGATCTGAAATCGGTTTTAGATTCTACGAGTTCTGGATGATTTGAGACGGGATTTTTCCTCCACTCTCATTTCATATTTCATAAGTGGCTCTTTATCTCAGCTGAAGCCTTAATAGAGCCTTTTTTTCAGAGTGGTTGGAGGGTGGTTGGAGAAGTCGAATGTTATACATCCCGGAGACATTCAGACTTAATCCCATAACTCTCTGCATCCAGCCTGCTGAGGTGTCCTCGAGCAAGACATGCTGCTGGGAAGCTGCTCAGGACGTGATAAAGAGTTTCCTCCTCAGGGAGCAAAAGTCCCACAAAAAAACCTAAAGGAAGTCTGCTGCCATGTGCTCCCAATATAAAATAACACAAATCCAAGTCCACCAACATAACCCCCTTTAAACCAGTCATTCTGATCTAATATCAAGACATGGAGCACTGAGGCATCCATCTTTAACATCTCCTGAAATAATCCACAAAGCCAGCACGCCTCATCTCTCCAGCTAACATAAATCAAATGCACCCAACCCGCCAAATATGAAACGCAACAAATCCACAATAGCTTGCCTCCCCATGATGCTGAGTCTCGAATGACTGCTAACCCCTCCTACTTATGGACCACAATAGCTGAAGGTAACCACAGCGGGCTACTGTTGTAAACTCTAATCCAGGCATGTGTATTCATACGCCTTCAATAAAGCCACATATCACGAAATGCAGCCGGGCCTCCTCGAAATAAAACCTCCAGCGCCTCCAAACGACGGCGTTCCCCAGAGATACCCGGCGACAATCGCTCAGATACGGAATGCCTCTGGACAGTCGGCGTCTAAATATAACATAAATCCAGTGCACATGGATATTTGGACACACTTTTCATTCCTCTGAAAATAGAAACCCAAATCTACGGGGGCCTAGATCAGAGATACTCTGGTGCATCAGGATTCTGTTGAGTCCATGTTTGTTATCCTTTAACAAACACTGAAAACTCTGAATATTAGCTTCCTAAAAGTAAAGAAAAACCTCAAAGTTTGACATTTGTAATCATGCAAATGACTTTACATAACCGTCCTGGACAAACAATAATCTGTAACAGCGTGTCAGTGACAGTGACATTGTTCCAGAGAGGCTTAACAGGAGGTACGTCGTAGATACTAAATGCATAACTAAATGTTCTTATCGCTGGCCGTCGTTAGAGCACAGTTGGCATTCTTTCCATTGTGTCATCAGTATTGTGTCGTCACATCGAGGCTATACACAGATTCACAAAGGAGAGTACAGCAGGCAGTAGTGAAGGTCATCAACAGCGACTAATAGATAGAAAGGCTGAAGAGAGCAGACAGTGAAAAGTGTCTCTTTCCTCTCATCCTAAATGTATTTATTTACTTGATAAAAACTGTAACGTAACTATATTTGAAAGTTCACTCATCACATCACTTTGTTTGGACGAAGTCTACTTCAAATATCTGATCGGCTTCAGTTATTGAGGGCATTCTGATGTGATGAGGAAGTCGTCCGATTGGTCGTCGAGGATGAGGAGTTGGATGAGAGCAGTGGAAAAATAACTCCTCTATTTATAAAGGCCCATTTAACAGAAGAGGGTCATCTGCAGACCGCCTGACTCACTCCACCACAACATCTGATCTGGACTCAGGACTACCTGCGTCCCCCTTTTTTAATATCTGTTCAGATGAAGCACGGATGCCACAAACTGAGCTCGGACCAAAGGAAACCAGAAGCTGCTTCCATCTAAACCTTCATGCCTCTGCTTTATTCCCAACTCATGTAGAAGCCGATGTACATATTTGTATTTGGACATTTAAACTGATATTTCATGCAACATTACATTCACGGGGTTGAGTTGTGTCATTGTGAACCACATGTTGGTGTAGCATGGTGGCACCACCCTGTGGTCACTGTTCGTCTAATTGAGAAAAGTGCAGCAGAGCAGGAACACAGACGGAGAGTCAGACTAGAGTCTGGATTCAAAATGCTTCTGTTTGATTTGCTCTACAGCTGCACCAGGTCCATCATCAAGGGCTTGATTGAACACACATGCAGCCAATCGGCAGCAATGCAAATCAGTAGACACGTTCTCACACACATACTGATGTATTGACATACAGATGTTGGCTCATACACTGAGGAATCATCCACAGGATTTAAATGTTGATTTAAACGTGTCCAATCGGAACATTTAAAGTCCGGTCCTCCTCTGCTAAACCCTATTTTAAGCATTGATAGCACAGAAAGCCCCTTTTTTCAAGGCAGTTCCTTTAAATAGCAGAGGAAATGTTGCGGCTATAAAGGCTGAAGGGTTCGAATCTGACATTGACATCTCACATTGACGAGGGAGATCAAGGTAGCTAAGAGGAGCTACACTGAAAAGCTGGAGAAAAGGTTTTCAGCCAACAACCCCTCGTCAGTTTGGAGAGGCCTGGAAGTACTCACAAACTACAGGAGACCATCCCCCCCCCCACTGAGGCCAATCACCGACTGGCTGATGACCTGAATTGTTTCTATTGCAGGTTTGATAAGTCCACTTTCACACCCCCCACCATCAAACAACCACCTACACCCCCTGCCTCCTTCTCACCTCTTCCAACCGACCCCCCACCGGCACTGAGGTTCTGCGAGGAGGATGTGAGTCGGCTCTTCCACAGACAGAAGATCAGGAAGGCACCAGGCCCAGACGGTGTGTCACCCTCCTGCCTGAAAGTCTGTGCTGACCAGCTGGCCCCCATCTTCACACAGATCTTCAACCGATCACTGGAGCTCTGTGAAGTACCCTCCTGCTTCAAACGCTCCACGATCATCCCGGTCCCCAAGAAATCCTCCATCACAGGATTGAATGACTACAGGCCCGTCGCGCTGACGTCTGTGGTCATGAAATCCTTTGAGAAACTGGTGTTGACCCATCTGAAGGACATCACAGGGCCCCTGCTGGACCCCCTGCAGTTTGCCTACCGTGCAAACAGGTCGGTGGATGATGCAGTCAGTATGGGACTGCACTACATGCTGCAACACCTCGACTCCCCAGGGTCATATGCAAGGGTTCTGTTTGTGGACTTCAGCTCAGCGTTCAACACCATCATCCCAGCAATACTCCAACCCAAACTCTCCCAGCTCACTGTGCCAGCCTCCACCTGCCAGTGGATCACTAACTTCCTGACTGACAGGACGCAGCAGGTGAGGCTGGGAAAAATCACATCTAGCACCCGGACTATCAGCACTGGCGCCCCCCAGGGTTGTGTGCTCTCCCCACTGCTCTTCTCCCTCTACACCAACGACTGCACCTCAGAGGACCCAACGGTCAAGCTCCTGAAGTTCACAGACGACACAACGGTCATCGGCCTTGTGGTGGCCCGTTCTTGATTCCTCTTCCTCTGTGCTGAGCCACGTTACGGGGCTCTGTTTCTGACTCACACGTTGAACCATCT